CAATTACGTTCTGCTTTATTAAATAAGTCTTGTGTGATATCGGCGAATTCATGCAAGAATTTTGGTGACAGTAAAGTATGAGAGATAAATTTCCGGTTTCGACTCCAAGATTTTTCATCATTATTAAGTAGAAGACCATTATGCGTTCTTAATTCAGAAAGTCCGTTCAATGTCGGACGAATAGTAAAATTGTTTTTTGAAGATGAGTTATAAACTTTATCTAAAGCTTTAGGATCACCTGTGATTATAGCACGCACAGATCCTAAATATATTTCAAAAGTTTCCCCGTATTTTTTGCGAAGAGGAAAAAAAGACCATGTGCCAATATCAATATCGCCTATCTTATGAAATGCTATTTGATGAAGATTTCCAATAATTGGAAGTGGAAGAGGACCTGGTAAAGGATTTTTACGTGTATAGTAATTATAATAATATTTTGCTACATAAAGAACAAGAAAGATCAAAGTTGCGAAAATCCAGTCGAAGCCCGAAGTAAATACAATTGAATTTGACATATTTATTCAGGAATGATATTTCTATCGAAAAATAAGGCTTCGATATTTATAACAAAAATAAAAACCGTTAACATTATCGCAAAGTACTAAAGATATCGTCATATTATCCGAGTTTAAAATGGAAAATGTCTATAGTATAAGTTTCTATTTTAGGACGCAAAGAATGTTCCATATGTCGCATCCTTACGGCGCTTGTGCATCACCTGTACCAATAATTTTCGAGTGGGAATTTCTGTACCGTAATTATTTACTATATATTTTTTGGACCGTATATACAAAGGGTTCTTATATTTCGGAAATTTACTCAAATTCATTGAAAGTACATCTGCACGAGTTTGGGAAACAATATAAACAAAATTTTACTATATTTTACCAGTTATACAAATTAAAATTTACTTATTCAGCCCAGTCCAGTTTTGATTTCAGTTTAAGCAAAGATTGGCTTAAACTGGTTTAATATTATTACATAAATTATTCTCATTAGTACAGTATTATTTAATAATTTTTTTTTCAAGAATTGTATTACTGTATTTATCGAAAAATAAAAATATTAATAAAAAAATAAAACCTTTTCTAAACTATATCAATACTATTTTTCCAATTTTTTTTTTCTTAATTCAACCTTTTAAGCATAAACTAGTATGAGCTGAAGTTGATTTTATGTTTTATTAATTATATATATTGTTACACTTGATTTTTTTTTTGCTTAATATTGTTATTATTTCTTATTTAATTTCACTCTTAAAATATTGCTATTCTAAAATAATCTTTGTAATATTAATCTGCTATTACTAAGCACTGTGCTTTTTGTGCTATTGTTGCTCTAATATTTTTTATTATTTATTATTTATTTTTATT